TCAGAGCCAGCCAAGTATGGACTGAAACCTCCACAAACTGTGACCTAAATAAAGCTTTTCTTCCTTAATTTTGGGTGTCCCTATCGAAAACTGGGTTAAATAACCCTCAGTTTTTGCAGGCTGATCAGGCCCCCAATCTCCCAAGCAAGTGGACAGTGAAGGCTTAAATACATGAGACAATGGAAATGATTTTAGGGCTCCAGGAGGGACTAACTCTCTTACAGCTTCAGTATTCTCTGAGTTTTAGCCAAGGACTTCTCGGGGTGGCCCATATTTATTTGGTTTTCAAACAAACGAGGAGGATACTTAAGAAAATGCAGGAATCTCGCAGGACCTTGGGAGAATTTTTCCAAGTAGTAAATTATGTCAGTCAGGAGAACTACCTTATCTTTAGGTTGGTATTTATTATACGAGTGTGGAGGCTGCAGCTACAGTCTTCTTGTAGTAATTGGGGTTGGAGCCAAACGTCTTTAGCTGTGGCCTTATCTTGTTAGACAAGGTACCTGAGCTTTAGACAACTCACAAGCAAAGCTGGAAAGCCAATTGGTTAATATTAAATCCTGCTCAGAGCCACTTTGTAATGGTCCCCAACAGTCCCAGCAATGAGAGAAAAGTAACCAAGACAGGCCTCTAACTTGAGGCAATCCTCCTGCCTCAGCCTCCAAGTGCTGGGATGCGCCACCATGCCCAGCCATATTTTGCACATTTTATACAGCTCTTCCCTTGGAGAGTGTTTCTGTGGTCTCAGATCATCTCTGTGCCTTATTTCTACTAAGAATGGGTTTGCTCCTCAAGCTATTTGGACAGTGTTTTTAAAATGCTCACTGGGGGCGGGCGTGTATGCTTCATGGTGCACACACACATGCTCTTCTGGTTGCGTGCCGCTCAATTTGGTGAAATCTGTCAAACCCAACTGTAGTTCTGTGTATCTGAGTAGATCATGAATGTTTTATGGGAGGAAGTGACAAGAGAAACAACACTGTAAGTCGAGCAGGAAGGAGAGCACTGAGCTGAGAAACTGAAGAGGTTACCTTCGGCGCGGCACTTTGGCCATTGGTGTTTCTGTTCCGTCACAGCAGTGACACTAGTGTCCCTTTGTCCTGGGATTCACTTTCCTGGTGCAGTCAACCAGGAAATGATCACTGAATTCTCTTAAATCATCTCAGGTAGAGGGGTGAGCACAGTGCAGTAAGATACCCACGAGATGAGGACCACCTTCCCGTAACCGTTACTGTAGCCTGTGGCTCTAACTGTTCTGTTTTCTTGTTACTGTATTAGCCTCGTACTGTGCCTAGTTTATACATGAAACTTGATCTTGGGTAGATGGGTACAGGAAAGAGCGTGCCATCCACAACTCCAGGACTGTCCTCACTTGCAGCTGTCCACTGGGGTCTCAGAACACGCGCCCCAGATGGGGCGACCATGCTATGAGGGCTCCTTTCAGCTTTGATGTTCAGTGAGTCCTGGACATGCAGTAGAATGCTATCAGATGATCTCATAAAAGCATAGAAACCCTGGAAGGAGGATCAGAGCTTTCTGCTTTCTTCATGAAGTACACCTCCGTGACTATTGGTATTTCTCCTGCCACCCTTGGCTAGGCAGAGGAGACCTGGTCAGTGAGGCCGTGACTCAGGCACCGAGGAGCAGCAGCACAGGTTCCGACAGGCTGCGTAGGTTGTTGTCAGGACTTCACCTGGGTGAGGGACAGTCGTCTACTGGAGAGCGAGGGACTTCAGCCTGGGCCCTGCCGCAGACTCACAGGGAGCCAAGGGGCGAGTGGCTGCTCTGTGCTTGTCAGCGCAAGTTTTACTCACTGTAACTGCTGCCAAGTCCGACAGAGTGGGTATGGGTGAGAGAAGACATGAAGACCCAGAGGTGAACAGCGGTGGCCGAGGCACTGGCTTCTTAGCAGAGGAAATTGGGCAGCCCCGGTACGGAAGAGCCCACTGATGGGAAAGATCCGTCAACCTAAGGGGGCTGAGCAGGGGTGCTGAGCACGATGGTGTCCCACAGGAAGTGGCGCTGTGTGGAACTTCCCACTTTGGGGGCTCACAGAGAAACCCACGACACCATGTGAGGGCGCAGAGGGCAGCACACCAGGGGCAGCACGGTCAGGACCAGAGAAGCCGGCGTGGGAATGTGCTTGGTGCAGAAAAGTCACCGAGAGAAGACAAGCACCACACCGACTGTTCAAAGTCAAATAATTCAACCCCAGCGCTTCTGCACTTGAGGAAATGTTAGTGCGATTACTGCTTTCTGCTCCCTAATTATTTATAAACCATAGTAGGAGGGCTTTTAGTGTTTTGACGAACGTGTTCAAGGTCATTGCACAAGGGTCATTTCCCCCATTGATTATTAGGGTTGCTTTGGATTCTTGGCACAGGCACTTGTATGGTCTGACATTCCTGTGAAACTGTGTACTGCTATCTTTATGCCCAAAAAAGTACCACGAGATGAGTGTCGTGTGGCTCAGACTCACATCCAATGCCACAAGCAGCCCACAATTTATTACAACAGTTTCTTGGGGTCGGGGAGTTGTTGTTTTGTTTTCTTTTGTTTTGTTTTGTTTTGTGGCAGGATCTTGCTGCATACTCCAGGCTGGCCTCAAACTCTCAGTGATCCTCATGCCTCAACCTCCCAAATGCTGGGATTAAAGGTGTGTGCCACCATGCCTGGCTTTTCCCTATTATTACTGCAGTTCTATCCATGCAGGCATTTCAGTGTTGGAGGTATTGTTTGCTTGCCGATTTCTACAGACTCACATATGGGTGCCTTTTCTTCATATGGCTCCAAGTTGACCCTTTCCTGCAATTCCATGCCTCTCTGCGTCCTTTGAGGAACAGGTAGGGCCTTGACGTGTGCACTCCACGGAAGTGCTAGTTTGTTTCATCAGGGATCTTCAATCTGAGAACTCAAGTTAGTTTCGGCCTCTGAAGGATGCTTAGCATTCTCTTCAGTCACCTGAACAAACCACCCCACTCCAATTTAAGACATTGATAGAAGACACAACTTAAAAGCATCTTTCCCAAAATTATTTTTAGATCTAAGAATTGTTTCCATTACCAATAATCATGCCATGAACGGTATATTTGAGCATTTTGGATCTGCTCTACAGACTAAGGAGTTTTAACAGTGGGACTCATCTGCTTTTGCCTCCAATTTCTTTTCACCATTTGGTAGTGTCACTTTGGAAGAGGCTTCATACCTCCTGACAGGAAGCCTGTATTCTCGAAAGCTACACGCAGAGCTCACGTGGTATGGGCGGCCCAGGCCTGCTCCCCAGTAACAAGCTGGAGAGCAGTCTACACTGCTGCACCCCGAAGCTCGTAATTACACCGCTTTATAGCAGCAGTTCGCCAGGTGGATGTGGTCAGCTGCACAGTCTATTAATGATTTCCTCTGCTGCTACGCAGTCAGCACTGCTCACACTGGTGAATTCAGCCTCCCTCACCCTCACATCTGACACCCAGACGTTTCTATAATCCTTTGAAGCTTTAATGGCTTTGCCTCAGTTTTATGATGCATTCCACAGGGAGGGAGGTGGAGTGCAGAACCAGAATGTCTGCTTCCTACTGCCCCTCC